CAGAAGCTAATGCCGCGTTTCACCGGATGTGCTCTTATGCCTTCCTGGTCATGACGTCACCCGCCCGTGACGCTCATTCTTTCCATTGGACTAGTTGACATTGATGCTCAGACGCATTCACGCAGGGGGCGTTCCCAAAGCGTCGATGACGCATCGCGAGTTCCCTCGAAAGGGAACAGTGTCTTCTCGACATGTCGACAACACAAACCATACTCTCACAGGCCTCCGATTCAACTAAAATGTTTGAGGGCGGGTCAAAGTAGACATTGTTTGCGGGCAGCCAATGAAGATCATAGGTGGGCATTATGTTACAAACCACAGGTTCATGCAGGAAGTAAGGCTAGAATTACTGATGACTCGTTTCAGGCAGAATCTGGTTCTTTCTTTTGGGAGACAACTCCATTTATTGTGCACCTTGATCTTAGAAACCTTGCAGACCTTTTACATTCACAAACAGTTTAATTACAAACTACATGAAAGATACAGTAATATCAGAAAAGTATATTTGGGGCACTTTTATTTATAACATATCCTGATATTCACCAAAGTCTCATTGTGAAAATGGATGGTCATTGTGAGTGGATTACAGGCCCAATTAAGCAATTTGTGAGGGTTTTAATATCAGTGAAGACTCACACCGAAGTGAGATGAACATAAGTTTGGCCACGGTCGAATAATATTGCACTATTCCTGTGTTATCTGGGGGATTAGTAGTTAGTAATTCACCCTATTTAATAAAAAATAAAAATAAAATGTCCAAATAACCTTATTGCCTAATCTCATTTTTCTCATCCCTATGGGTAAATGTTAATGCAACCTGTTAATATGAAAATCACTCATGCAAAAAAGAGAGCAGTAAAGCATGAGAGGGCAGACATACAGTAATACTAGCAAAAGAACACCGAGTTCAGAAACCCATGTGCTCTAAAGTCATGAAATGCACAACTTGCATGCACACCCACGCATCTATTTTCAAAATGCCCTGAGAATCAAAAGACTTGGCCCTGTGAAGTGCACTTCTAAGTTCTGCTGGGTTAGCCATGTTGTGTCTGCCATGCCCTCTTGTTGAGCACAAATGAAAAAGGGATTTGAATGTTTTCTCTGAGGGGCTACAGTCGGCCAAGGGCAGTTAATACATGAGGCAACTTATCCAATTTCAGAGAAGGTGTCAGGGCAGAAGGAATGAATAAATCCACAATATGATAAAAAAAAGAGAAAGAAATAGCCTAGCCATCCATTTCAATCTTGAAACTGAAGCAAAATCAACAACGCCAGATCTTTAAATGTAATTTGACATGTTACACTGATGCCTTTCCCCACTACACAAATGTGAAGCACCAACAGACCTTATTCAGGGTAGATGGCATTTTTTATTTGATGGATTCAATATATTGTTTTGTCTCTAGGTTCTAGCTCTTATCTAATATTTACAACTCATGTTTTCATTTTCTTTTCCACTGGAAATTTGCAGAAATACACATTTGACATTTCTCTGGCTGAATGGTTGATACATAACAGTAAAATATACTGACTCTTATCTATCCCTCAAAACCTTATTTCCGCTTGTGTCGTGAAATATGCTGTTTACCCTGACTAATGTCTATTACTCTTGAGTATCATAGTGCTTTGGAGGAAAAATTGCCACTATTCTCAGACTCACACACTTTGCAGGTTAGTTTACCGAGAAAGTATCCTCTGAATGACTTGCAAATAAGAAATACTGTATTGCAACATGAGGCTGTGATATTCTAACCAACAAGATTTATGATTACTTTTTGTAACAGTTCAATAAACAATAAATTATGTACATTAACCTACAGTAAATTTTAGAGCTTCCTTTGTCTATTTTTGTTTTGTTAATTAAAATAGTTCCAAATGATGTCAAATCACCATACCCAAGCAACACGCCATAGTGATAGCTGTGCCACAATTCACAAATCTATGCACTAAATATCTTTGCACGTCCTTAGTTTTTAAATTCATATGCAACGACATCCACGGCGATCCAATCAATTCCCGATGGACAAAATCAAGTCCCGTCCTACATTTTTTCTTGTTCAAGAAGTCGTCTCACTCAGACAATACTTTACAAAAGGGAAGAAAAAACTGTCGTAACTTCCGTTTCATGCCGACTTTAAGCCCAAATGCTAATACAGACTCCTCTCTCTACTGTAGCCTAATCCATGTGTCTAAACTTGTAGGCTTTCAATTGGATGAGCTTTACGGAGCTAACATGATTGGTAATTGGAATCCCCTTTAATCACAGGGGAATTCTCAACTTTTTACATTGTTGAATAAAGTTTTAAGATTGAATTATATGATTTCCCCTCATTTGCATATCTTTCTCTGCTCCAAAGAACCGAGGCACAGTGCTTTTAGGCTTTTAAAGCAGTACCGAGAAACATATTTAAGAGTATCATTTCATATATTTGCCACTTCAGTGGAGATATGCCAGTATGTGCCTCCCTGTCCTTTCTCTGAGACATCAGTTGGTTGTGTGTCTCTAGTTTCTGTGTCCTCAGCCTCTGCTAACAGCCCTCCGTTTCTAACGTGAAATGACAGCGCAATTTCAGTGAATCTGCTGGGTGATGCATGCTAGAATGTCGCATGTTTATTCAGCCACAGACCCAGAGAGTAAAGTTCACTCACATCACGATCACGTTACATCACGTCAGCCAGAATACACCAGTTCATTCATTTGCCACGGACTGGCAATAAACTTTCATAGTAAAAAAAAACGAAAGAAATAAAAAGTAAAGTTTAAAATAATGAGGGCATAGTTTTTATTGTGTGAAGACCTTTGGACAGACACTGAAAATGCTCTTTCTGGGTACACTGCACTTGAGGTCTTTGAGCTTGTTAAGTGTTGAGACAATTGCTGAGGTTTCTCCGTGGGGAATAATAATATTGCTGCAGAGACACAATGTCCTGCCAACCATAAGACATCTCACTACCACGGCACACAAGAGGTCTCCAGGGATTCGTATTTGCAATCATTCGCTCTGCTTGGTGGTCTGTCTGGCAATTGATGTTGCACTAGCTTATACTATTTGTTCTCCTGCCCTCTTTGTCTACATAGATGTTTTGCAGTTTGCAGCATAAAATCACATGTAAATAAAATATATTTCATCTCCCACACTGTCAGGCTTGTGCATGTTGTAGAAATAGTAAACCAATATATTCCGTTGGGGCACAGTATTTACTGTAACAGGTATAACATAAGTGCAGGAGAAAATAAGTCCTTAGAGTATGGGAAAATAGTGCTCTGAAATCACTGCAGTGTGCTTCTCATGTCTTTTTGTTTTGGTTGTTTTTTTTGTTTTTTTATTGCATCCTACTGATCTGAATTTGGCTGATGATGTATTACCCTTACAGTTTAAGGCTAGCGACTAGCTGATATAAATAAAAAAATAATTAATTTAATTTATTTAATGTACATATTGTATTACTCATTCAATTTACTGTTGGTATATACACTAGTGGCAGATTCCCCATCTGAGTCTGTTTTTTTTTTCAACATTTGTAACTATAACTGTGTGATGTTGCTTAAACAATAAGTTAAAAGAGAATAAGTCACATTTTAGACACAATATTGCCAGTTTCTTTGTCTATTGTCCATAGCAGAACTAACTGTTTCTCCGAGCAATACACAGCAGTGGCATTCTGAAGGAATCAGTGTTTTGAACAAATCAGATGTGCAAATGACTCACTCAGAAAAACATTAATTTCTTTTTTATGAATCTGTGTTTTTAAAAGAAGTGTTTGAGTGAATGATTAATGTGTTCGAAATAGTTCATCACTGTAGCATAGGTCTACTATTCCTATTGTATCTAAATACAATATAGCAAGAGTAGTATTATGGTATTCCATGCATAGTCCCTTGTTTCGTTTCTGAACGATTCTGTGTTTTAGAGCAAATCGCTAGAGCAATTGATTCCCTGGCCTACCAATTTAACCTGCAGAAAGAGTCAGTGAGGATCAGCATTTAACTGTGGCTTTATTTTAAAGTGTGTGGTGGTGGAAGTATAATTTACCATAGCCATTATAGTGGATGTACTGTATATTGTATACTTGATGAATGTGTAATTTTCTTTATTCTATCTCACATCTCTCCTGCAGCTTATTTATTTAATAATATTACAATTTGATATTTGAGAATAAGCTCTGTTATTTGTTCTGCAGACTTTTATTGATACACTGATTTGAACAGCTTCACTTGATAACTTTATAGCCAGCGTAAGATTTCCTTTGTTTAAAAAGGAGTGGCAAGGTCTTAAATTGGCCTCATTTTATATCTTTCCTCCAGACACAGTATTAAATTAATTAGCATAAAATATTTCCATCTACCTAATCAAAATTGTAAAGATATTGGTTGCATTTTCTACAGTGGCCAACTAATATACTGCCTTAATTCTCATAACAATTGGTACAACAGTGATGGATAGTCCTCTTGTACATAATTATTCAAGATCTTTCCATTTAGGAATTGATTTGGTGATTAAGAGAAAAGTTGTCTGATTTATGACCCTAAGCATCTGGACTGGCTTGTGCTTCCTGTGACTTAACATCTGTGTTGCCAGGTCAAAAACAACCCTACTATTCAAGTGGGACCACCTCATTTTCAAGACTAATGCACTGAAAATGAGCACAGAATTGCACATCCAGGATAGTCCTGGAGGTCTGCCAACAGTTGTTCAACTCTTGCCAAACTCCCTCATTCTTGCAGTCTCTTTTACACGCTTGTTTCTCAAACCTCCCAGTGCTAAATGTGCTAAACAAACTCGAGTGAGCCAAATTACTCAGATTTCCTGTATTTGTAAAGCCCTTCAAGTGAGATTACATTGTAGCTGAACAGACAAAGATTTACACTGCAAAGATAAACATAAGAGACAGTGTGACCTTCTTCTGGTTTCATTGCATGCCAACATGATACCCAGACACTTCTACAAATCCTCATAATCTCATTGATTTAAAGTTTAGTTGCTTCTTTTCTCTTGCAGGTGGTTAACTAAAATTTCAAGCACCCCAGGAATTCCATGGATGTTAGTTGATCTGTGCCACCAAGGCTTTGGATTCATCGCTTCTTTGCCTCCACCAAAAGTGTCCATCTTTGCATCTAAAGGTTGTTCCAATGCTCATGGGGAATTGCCTGCTGCTGTTCCTCTGGTGCCTCTTAGACAAAAGCTTTGTTTCTCCCCTCCACTCTTCATCCCAGAGCAGGATGGGGAAGGAGCAGCACAGGAACATGATGGCACATAGGAAACATGGAATGATGGGAGTTCACAGAGTCAAGAGAGGATGGGTGTGGAACCAGTTCTTTGTTCTAGAGGAATACATGGGATCTGATCCGCAGTATGTCGGAAAGGTAAGAAGAAAAAATCTTCTCAGAGCCGAGGCTTTGGGCCAAAGGTATTGAGAATAGATTGAGAATAAAACGGTGGGGGAGTTCAAAGGCTTGAACTAGAACTCGCTGCTTCTAGGTATACTTATTCTTCTTTTATCTTCACTTCTATTTTCATAACCAGCTTTTGGTTGCTTGAAAGTAAATATTCTCAACCACATAACATGGTTCATGGTTTGAGCAACCAGATGGTGCAATTGAGATAGATAAAAAAAAAATTATCATAAGATAAAAATAAACATAATTTTGGAGAACTTTTTAGCAATGCATTGAAATTTGCGTATTTGGCCATAAAGTTTACATTAATTTTTACATTCAGATCTATGCTGAAACATACAAAATGGATGAATTGACAGAATCTTAAATGTAAAAATACACATTTTTATTTAATCCTTTATATATATTTATATAACGTCTCGGTTACGTATGGTAACCCTCGTTCCCTGAGTAGGGAACGGAGACGTCCCGTCGGAGGAGTTTCCAACGAATTGGGATCACGCTAGGGAGACCAATTGCCTTCGAGTGAATTAAAACGAGCCAATGAATATTGGCATGCAAGACTTGCATTCCGCGCCCCGCCTGCCAGTGCGGGTATAAAGTGGAAACGACCGCACACACATATGCTTTACGCTGAGGAGCCGGACGGTGTCCAGTCCTCCGCGAAGGTACAGCAAGCATGGCGACGGGACGAGACGTCTCCGTTCCCTACTCAGGGAACGAGGGTTACCATATGTAACCGAGACGTTCCCTTTCGTTAGGGAACTCCTACGTCTCGTCGGAGGAGTTTACAACGAATTGGGATCCCTAATAAAATGCCATGGTGCTGGCCCCTTCCAGCTCCCAGCCTAGCTACCCGCCTAAGCAGTTTCTTAGTTTTCTTTACGGCGGGAGCTAGCTAGGAAGAGTCACACTGCTGTTCCGCAAGACCCGCTCAGTGGATTTTGGATAACACTGGGGAAGCGTGCCCCGTAGGAGGGAACACTGCGGAGCCCCTGCCCGCCCGAAGGGAGGCACTGGAATACACGTACGTACTAACCCGTAGGGTAGTGAAACATACGGCAGTCCCTGAGGTAGTCCCAGCCCGAGGGGTGGGAGCGTACTCAGCAGGGACGATAGAACAGGTCTGTCGAGGGAAAGACACGGCGTTAACCAGGAGGGTAGCTGGAATGTGGAAAAAATGGGTCACCGTAGGGACCACTGTAAGGCCACCCAGTCTAATAACAACTCACACGAGAGGTAGTAGACCGGAGGGGTGATGGAGGAACTCACGAGGTAAAAAAGACGCACTTATCCGGCCCCTGGGGCGGGAATGGCGCAGCAAGCCGACATACCTAATTCCTCGCGCTACTGGCCGTATTGAGTACACGGGAGGAAACAGGTACAACACGGAGGCTATAAAATCTAGCGAACGTGTTAGGTGTCGCCCAGCCCGCAGCTCTACAGATATCTGTCAGCGAGGCGCCTTGAGCCAAAGCCCAGGAAGCGGCAACACCTCTAGTAGAGTAGGGCTGGGCAAAAAAATCGATTTTTCGATTAATCGTTTTTTTAAATGTGGTCCATTCAAAATCGATTCTCAACGGCCACGAATCGATTTTTTCCATATTCAGGGCTCGCGGTGCTGCGTCTTCTCACTCTGCACAAGGCAAGCGTCAAGCGCTGCAGGCGTCGATACACACTCGTGTTTAGGAGTCGGGACATGATTCACTTGAACAATCGGGCCAGCATTGCATCGTAACTAACGTTTATCATTTTCACGTCTTTTTCAAGCAATTTTAAACTATCCTGTGCTCGCGCACTCGTGCATGTTTTTCATTGCGTGCAGCCTAAATCCGCCTCACAACAAACAGCTCGCCAGTAACAAAAGTTCTTTTTCGTGGATTATATTGCTTTAACCCTCTGGGGTCTGAGGTGTTTTCGGGGTCCTTGAGATGTTTTGGCATGCTCTGACATTTGTGCTTTTTTCAGTTGCTTATAAACATATTAATGGCACAGGTGAAATTACACTCTATATAGCACACACAGGACTACCATAATGTGTGAGCAACATGTATGTACATGTTTGTATTTTTGAGAGAATATTGTTTATGCGTGGTTATTGAAAAAATTCAATATTCAATTACATTTCAGTAGCCTAATTTCAGTATTGTGATTATGAATTATTTTAACTACGTTTCACTTGTTGAATACATCTGCTACCAGCTTTCAATCGCTCTGAATCAGGCGCGGTGCGGCCGCAGATTACGCATTAGAGAGAATAAACCGGAATAAACCATAGAATAAACGAACACTTTTCAGAGTCTATGATTGTAGCGCCTCTTAGCGGTAAAAGGCAGCAAATACACCACACATTTTACCGCCGCGGTGGAACGGCTGATGTGGGCATTGTCATGGCTTGCCTCAACAGTTGCGTTTGAATAGCGCGCGTCCTCCGTGGGCGTGTCAGATTAACGCGTAATGAAGTGTAATGAGCTGGGAAAAAAAAATACTGACAGCACTCTCTTTTCATACAGATTGCATAAACTGAGAATATTTGTTTTTTATATAAATTACTTCATTTAAAAGAAGAGAATTCAAGCTTCATAAAGAAAAATCTCTCGTGCCTGTGTGACAAGTAATCGCAGAGTTACAGTTAATCTTAGGACGCGTTTCAGAATGGACTTCACTGACAGAGAGAACGCAGAACTCGCATCATGTTTGTTTTTCTTTATTTGGTGAAAAGCACAACACTTTGTTTTTATTGTGAGTATCCACAAAAAAATAGTCACTTAACAGGATCTAATGATGTATCACACTTTTATGTAAAATCAAAATCAACCGAGTATTTTGAGTCTCTTTTGCACTGATAAGAAAAAAAACAAGACAATCGCGCCGGCGCGATAGCCGACCCCAGGGGGTTAACAGTTAAAAACACGCAAAATGATGTCAAAACTCTGGTCTTGGTGAGTAACCTCGTAAAGACAGTCGGTTATGTCTTAAATAAGCATTAAACGCGTGTGACAGACAGTATAATGAAACAGTAATGGATCCGTGCACTAGTTCTTAAAGTGAACGCAGCCATATGTGTCTGTCATTAATTTTGTTGTCAAAACAACATAATATAGCATTAATTGTAAGGAATCAGAATTAATAGCCTATGTATTTAATTCAGTCAGGACTAAAAGACTATCCAGTGTTATTTTACATTGGATTACTTTATTCAGTTTCTGTAGTATTTCTGACCTACCCAAAAACTTTTCTTTTTATTAGTCTTTTTAGGCCTATTCTATTGTATTTATTTGTGCTACTTTTTTCAATTTAATTCAAAGATTGAAATCAAGCTTCCATGTGTTGCATAAACTCTTAACAAAAAAATTACCCCATTGTAAAAACAAACATTTAGGTGAGATCAATGTAATAAAAAATTGTCTAAAAAATGATAACTGATATTTAGACTGAGATTTGTATTAAATCTATATTCATTATAGTCGAATCGAGAATCGAATCAGGAATCGAAATTCGAATCGAGGAATCGAAATCGAATCGAGAATCGAAATCGAATCGAGCTGTGAGCTTGTGAATCGAAATCGAATCGAATTTGAACATCTGAATCGATACCCAGCCCTATAGTAGAGTGAGCGCGCAACCTGGGAGGACAAGGCTCACCCAGAGACTCATACGCTCTGGTGATAGCATCCACTAGCCAGTGGGCTAACCTCTGCTTGGAGACGGCCTTCCCCTTCTGCTGGCCTCCGTAACAGACAAAGAGCTGATCTGAGGTTCTGAAGCTTTGCGTTCTGTTGATATAAACCCACAGAGCGCGGACGGGACAGAGAAAAGCTAGGGCTGGGTCTGCCTCCTCCAGGGGCATCGCTTGCAGGTTCACTACCTGGTCCGCAAAGGGAGTGGTAGGAACCTTGGGCACATATCCAAGCCGGGGTCTCAACACAACGAGAGAAAGGGCCGGCCCGAACTCCAGGCACGATTCGTCGAACGAAAATGCTTGCAGATCCCCGACCCTCTTGAAAGAACCCAATTCTAACAGGAGCGCTGTCTTAATGGACAGGATATTAAGCTCTACTGTCGACAGAGGCTGAAAAGGAGGACTATGAAGAGCTCTAAGTACCAAAGCTAGGTCCCAAGAGGGAACAGAATGCAAAACACGAGGTGGGTTTAACCTCCTAGCACCCTTAAGGAATCTGATGATCAGGTCGTGCCTTCCCAAAGACTTACCTTCTACTGCATCGTGATGCGTGGCTACTGCGGCGACATACACTTTGAGGGTGGAGGGAGACAGCCTTCGTTCCAACCCATCTTGCAGGAAGGAAAGCACGACTCTGACCGAGCAAGTTCGGGAGTCCTCCTGACGGGAGGAACACCATTCGACAAACAGGTTCCACTTTAGCGCATAGAGGCGCCTCGTAGAGGTAGAGTCTGCCTGTGGTAGACCCCCTAGAACCTCTGCGTCCCGTCCAGGGAACAGACATTGAGTCTCCAGAGGTCTGGACGCAGGTGCCATAGAGTCCCCCGTCTCTGAGAAAGCAGGTCCTTCCTCAGAGGAATGGGCCAAGGAGGTGCTGTTGCGAGGAGCATAAGTTCTGGGAAAGTCCTCCCTGACTTTGCACAGTGTCTGTGCGAGAAGGCTCACTGGGGGAAACGCATATTTGCGAAGGCCCTGGGGCCAGCTGTGCGCCAGTGCATCTGTACCGAGAGACCCTTCGGTCAGAGAATAAAACCACTGGCAATGGGTCGTGTCCGGAGAGGCAAACAGATCTATCTGAGCGGCTCCGAAGAATCCCCAAATCAGCTTTACCGCCTGGGGATGGAGTCGCCATTCTCCCGGAAGAGGCGGCTGCCGTGAGAGCTCGTCGGCTGTACGGTTGAGCACACCCGGGATGTGAATGGCCCGAAGCGACCTCAGATGCTTCTGACTCCAAAGGAGGAGATGGTGGGCGAGTCGCGACATACAATGGGAGCGTAGACCACCT